AAAAATTCTAAGGAAGCAGATGAGGATAAAAAATTTGGACCTCATATGTTGGTGAGGCGTAATTCTTGGAAAGGAGGAAACAACGGTAAAAAGCAGCAACAAGATGGTAAAACCCTCCATTTGGAAAAATCTACCTTGACAGAAGGTAAGAACCGATTTGCTATTTTGACTAAGTTCAGTGAACGAGACAACATAGAGGTGGACTCCCAGGACAAGGAAAGTGGAAAGGAAGTGGCTAATACCAATCACTCACAAGCCTTTGTCTCACAGAGAGCAAACAAGGATAACAAAATAATTAGGGGGATTGGGGCCCATACAGGACATGGACATAATCAAGGGCTGAAACAGCAGGGTAAGAAAACGGATACAAAAAAGAATTTGCAAGTTCATACCCCAAAGGTGGTAAGTTATATTTCACCTCATATTAACCAAAGTATATTTCAATTTGGGTCCACAAGTGAGACCGAGGAGGTCTCCATACCTTCACCGGGAGAGAATGTGAAAGGAGGCATGCCAAAACTGAATACTAAAACTATCCCGGAGGTGGATACAGGAGATGAAAAGGCTCACGCTATGGAACTAGTTCCTGAATTAGAAAAATTCCACTTGGAAGCGTCTGCTTCTAACTTATCACCCCAGTTGAAATGAAAGTACTCACTTGGAACTGCCGAGGGATTGCTAATCCGCGGGTCATTCGACAAGTTAAGGATCTTATAAGCACACAACGTCCAGATATTCTGGGCTTGCTGGAAACTAAGTCTAGTAACTACACTAAAATGGTTAAAATGGCTAGCAAATTGGGTATGAGCTGTTGGGACTTTGTGCCGCCTTTGGGATTTTCTGGTGGGATTATTCTACTTTGGAATCAGAATAAAGTAGACCTACTTGTTATTGAGAAGTCCTCCCAAGCTATCCACTGTGATGTTAAAGTAAATAATTATAGTGTTATTTGTACTATAGTTTATATACGTCCCACTGTTGCAGCCAAGGAAACATGTTGGGAGGAGATGAGGGACTTCCGAGCAAGACATTCTGGTCCTTGGTTTGCCATGGGAGATTTCAATGATACCCTTTGGGCGTCAGAACAATCAGGAGGTAACATTCTCTGGAGAGCTATGGACAGGTTTCAGGAGCAACTTAATAGCTGTGAGTTATATGATACTGGCTCAGAAGGGATACCCTTCACTTGGGTGAAACACGAGGGTGCCCGTGTGGTTCTTCGGAAAAAACTAGACAGAGTGGTATGGAATATGGAGGCAAACATTAACTTCCCAGAAGCAAAATCTTTTAACCTCCCCAGGTTACATTCAGACCACCATCCAGTTTTATTTTCAAGTAACTTTGAACAACACCCGGCTTGGCGGGAACGTCCACTCAGATTTGAGGCAGCCTGGATGCTACATGACTCGTTGCAACCAGTCTTTACTAATGCCTGGAAAGTAAACTCTAATTCTATAGAGGACGCTATTCATCAAGCTATGTCATCCAGCAAGGAGTGGAGTAAATATGAATTTGGGGATGTTTTTCGTCAAAAACGCCACCTCAGAGCGAGAATACAAGGGATACAGAGGTCCCCGAATTATTCCAATTCCATAGCTGAACAATCTCTTGAGAGAAATCTACTGGATATATACAACACAATTCTTGATAGAGAGGAAATGTTATGGTTCCAAAGAGGACGGGTGGAATGGATAAAAGATGGTGATCGGAATACAAGTTACTTCCACAAAGCTGCTAGCATTCACCATAATAAAAAAATCATTCGGAGACTTAAGATTAATGACAACTGGTCAACCGACCAGGAAGAGTTGGCTGCTCATATCCAAAAGTACTTTACAGAGCTTTTCAATGATTCTACTGACTGTATGAGAGATCAGATGCCGAATCTCGAGTGCCCGAGAATCTCCACTAATCAACATAATGACCTCATGAAGGAGGCTGATTTGGATGAGGTTAAAGCCACTGTTTTTGGTATAAAAAGCTTTGGCAGCCCAGGGCCTGATGGGATGCCTGCAGCGGTGTATAAAAAATTTTGGGATACTGTGGGTCCTACAATTCAAGAGTTTGTAAATACAGCACTACGCACAGGACATATCCCAAAGAAAATTCTTAAAGCGTACATGGTGTTGATCCCCAAAAACGATCATCCGGAAGAGGCAAGCAATTTTAGGCCTATTACCCTCCTCAACGTCATATATAAAGTGGTGTCCAAACTCCTTGTCAACCGAATGCGACTTTGGATTGGAGACCTCATTGGCCCTTTCCAGAGCAGCTTTCTGCCAGGACGGAGCACAACAGATAACATTATGCTCACCCAAGAAGTCGTTCACTCACTCAAGGCGAAAAAAGGGAAAAAAGGTGGGATGGTTTTGAAGTTGGATCTTCAAAAAGCCTATGACTGTTTGAGTTGGCAGTTTCTAGAGAGGACTCTAGATGACTTTGGTTTCCCGGCAGCCTTTAAAAACCTAGTTATGAACTCAGTTAAAAATATGACGATTGGGATTATCTGGAATGGGGGAATTATGCAAGAAATTCAACCGAAGAGAGGACTACGCCAAGGTGACCCAATATCACCATATCTTTTCATTCTGGCCATGGAACGACTTTCTCATCTGATTATGAAAGAAGTCGAGGGCAAGCGATGGAAACAGATCATTGTGGGAAAACCTGGGGTGGGTATATCCCACCTTTTCTTTGCTGATGATCTGCTGCTATTTGGTGAAGCTTCGAGTCAGCAAGTTAACAACATGTTAAATACGTTTCAGATATTTTCAGAGGCCTCAGGGCTAATGATTAACAAAAACAAATCCAGAGCACACTTTTCCCCAAATCTGGAAGGAGGGTTTATAAAAAATCTTCAGGATATTATTGGCATAAAGAGTACAACAGATCTGGGGAAATATCTAGGAACACCCATCATTCATGGTCGGAAATCTAAAAATAAATTTGGTTACATTTTGGATCGGGTGAAAAAAAAGTTGTCTTCATGGAAGGAAAAATCCCTCAGTTTAGCAGGAAGAAAGACATTGATCCAAGCGGTGACATCATCGATCCCGCAATACGTCATGCAAAGTACGCTTCTTCCCTTGAGTGTTTGTAATAGCATCGATAAACTGAATAGAGATTTCCTCTGGGGCAGTCTAGGAGAGACAAGGAAAGTTCACTTAGTGAGTTGGGATGACGTTTGTCAACCGAAAGACTGGGGAGGACTAGGTATGCGGAGAGCCAGGGATAATAATCTGGCATTGGTTGCAAAACTTGGATGGGAAGTGAATATGGACAGTCAAAAGCTTTGGGTGAAAGTTATGAAAGCCAAGTACATAAAAAACTCTTCATTTTGGGAAGTCTCAAGAAAAAATGGTTCATCTCATGTTTGGCAGGACATTCTGAAGAGTCGAGAGCTCCTAAAAAGAGGGCTTGGTTGGCAGGTAGGCACTGGAGAAAAAATCTCCTTTTGGTTTGATCACTGGGTAGGGGGGAAACCCTTATATGAAGAAATTGGATCTCCACTTCCGGCTACGGCAACGGGGGTCAAAGTGGCTGAGTTTATCACTCATAATAGAAGTTGGAATATTGATAAATTAGAAAATTTACTCTCGGAAGAAGCAGTTGACATCATCCGGGCGATCCCGTTGTCAATGGAGGAAGGGTTACAAGACCAATTCTCATGGAAGCTTTCTGATTCAGGTGAGTTTACTGTAAAATCAGCATATGAGGCAGAAATATGGAAGCAACACAATATGGATATGGGTTGGATTTGGAAAATTAAAGCGTCAGAAAGGATTCGATGTTTTCTATGGTTAGTAGTAAAGAATAAGATCCTTACCAACTCGGAAAGAGTGAAGCGTAAACTAACGGAGGATGGGCGATGCCCTATCTGCAATATGGAAGAGGAGACAGTGGTGCATCTTTTGCGGGACTGCAGCTTCGCGGCAACTTGCTGGGGAAGCCTACCAGGAGGTTGGGTCACAACACAGGAGCAAACTTCGTGTAGTCTTGACTGGGTGAGGCAACAAAGCATAAAGGAGCAGCCTAGAGTGGAGGGGATTCCGTGTGCTACCCAGTTTGCATATATGGCCTGGAATATTTGGAAAGCGCGAAATGCATGGGTTTTTGAAAATATTTCACCGAACGCGGATCGAGTGCGTAGCCTAGCCAACTATCAAGCAGTGGATTATGCTAGTACGGGCTTGACAAGAGATCTTTGGAAAACTAAAGAAGCAAGAGTGGTGAAATGGGAGCCACCCCCAGAGGGATATCTCAAACTCAATTGTGATGGGTCGTGCAGGGCTGGAGGGGATGCCGGGGCAGGTGGGATAATAAGAGACCATAAAGGAGAATGGATTATCGGGTTTACATTAAACATCGGCAAAACTAACAGCTTTAATGCAGAGCTATGGGGACTACGACAAGGTCTTCTTGTGGCAAGAGAGACTGGGCATTGTAGAATCATAGTGGAGGTGGATTCGGAAAGTATGATTAATGTAGTAAATAAGACACATGAAGAGCGTAGAACATCTGTCGGAAACCTTACTCGGGATTGCCGGATATTACTCAAGGAGGAGAGATTTATTTGCCTTCAACATACTCTGCGTGAAGGGAATAAATGTGCAGATAAACTAGCAAACGCGAGTTATGCATCTAACAACGGTCTTACAATTCTGAACGTGGCTCCGGATTGGATCAAACAAACTCTATGGGAGGATGCAAATGGCTTAGAGAATATTAGATATTAACTATGTTTGTTTTTCTTTCCGTTGTATCAAAAAAAAAAAGAGTACCAATTGAGCACAGATGAGGTGAACAAATATTGCTTGATCGAGATTGAGAAGTTGTTAAGGAAAAGGTGCAGATCACTACGAGATTTTGTGGGAATGCCAATGCCACCTGAATCTGATATTCCTTCCATTGAAGACACCATAATTCATGAAGAGTTGAAGTATGACAAATTTGTCATGGCCGAGACACATGCAAAATTATTGAAAAACATGAATGAAGAGCAACGAAGTGTCTACGATAAAATCATGGAATCTGTTGACAAGACGAATGGAGGTGTCTTCTTTTTGTATGGTCACGGTGGCACTGGAAAAACATATGTATGGAAGACTTTATCAGCAGCAATAAGATCACGAGGTCAAATAGTGTTGAACGTTGCATCGAGTGGGATTGCATCACTTCTTCTTCCTGGAGGACGTACTGCGCACTCAAGGTTTGCTATTCCAATCAATGTTACTGAAGACTCAACCTGCAATATAAAGCGTGGTAGTCCATTGGCTAAATTGATTCAAATGGCCAAGTTGATTATTTGGGATGAGGCCCCTATGATACACAGGTATGATTTGCCCACAATGAATTTAATTATTATCTGTTCTATTAAATTACAATATAATTGTATTAAAACAAAAAAAAAATAGCAATATTTATTTTATTATACGTAATAAAATTAGTTTGATTATTATATTGTTTTTTATCATCATCAACATATGAACTGTGTTTTAAACTATTATTATGAATACAATTATTAGTATTAATATTTAGTCTACATTATCTTATTGTTCTAATTATTGATATTAATTACTAAACTTTTAAATTTTCATTCATAAAGCTACACAAAATGCGCCAAAAAAGGTCAAGAATAATCAAATATTTGTGATTTAAAAAAATGCTGTCAAAAAGGTTGCAATAGTAATTTTAGTCATGTTAACTTATATTCAAGGTTTATAATTTAGTTGTAACTTTTATTCTTTTTTTAAATATGTTTAAAAAAAATAACATTTTTGAACTAACTACACATTTTAAGAGATTATATTTAATCATCATAATTGATGCGTTTAAATGGGTCTTTATACTATAAATCTAATGTATTATTGTTACCTTTTTATATAAATTTTAATAGGCATTGCTTTGAAGCTCTAGATAGAAGTATGAGAGACATACTTTCTTGCTCTCATGATGGCAATCCAAAATTGCCTTTTGGTGGAAAAACGATTGTTTTCGGTGGAGACTTTAGACAAGTGTTGCCTGTCATTCCTAAAGGCACAAGACAGGATATTGTTCTTGCATCTTTGAATGCATCACATCTGTGGCAATATTGCACGGTGTTGAAGTTAACAAAAAACATGAGACTCAAGAACTTCACAAATGAAACGGCCAATCCAAGTATTTTGAAGCTTTTTGCCGATTGGATACTACAAATTGGTGATGGTGTTCTGGGAGGGAGCGTTGATGGAGAAGCAGAAATTGATATACCGGAAAATTTTCATGTTCCAGTAATGTCTGATCCCATTGAATCCATTGTCAACGCCACTTATCCAGATTTTTTGAAGAACATGAACAACATCTCATATCTTGAAGGGAGAGCAATTCTTGCACCGACAATTGATGAGGTAGACAAGGTCAATGATTTCATGTTGTTGCAGAACAGCTCAGAGGAAAAGACATATTTCAGTTCAGATTCAGCGTGTTCCTCAACCTCAGACAATGAGCTCCTTCAGGAGATTCATTCTCCCGAATTCCTTAACGGCATAAAATGTTCTGGTGTTCCAAGTCACGAGTTGAAGCTAAAAGTTGGTGTACCGGTGATGCTCATGAGGAATATAGACCATTCGGCCGGCTTGTGTAATGGTACCCGACTTTTAGTGACAAAACTTGGTGAACATATTATTGAAGCACAGATGATGTCTGGAACTAATGCAGGTGAGAAATTCCTTATCCCAAGGATTAGTCTAACCCCGACAGATGTGAGGCTACCTTTCACATTCATGCGTCGGCAATTCCCCTTGATGGTTAGCTATGCAATGACGATGAACAAGAGCCAAGGACAATCATTAGAGAATGTGGGCGTTTTTCTACGACGGCCAGTTTTTACACATGGCCAGTTATATGTTGCAGTTTCGAGGGTGACGAGTCCGTCTGGATTGAAGTTCGTGATATGTGACGACGAGGGAAATCGAAAAAAGACCGCAAAAAATGTTGTCTACAAAGAAGTCTTCAATAATTTGTAAAATTGTATGCTTATTAAACTCCATATATTTTTTTTATGTATTTAATAATGTTTACTCTCATTCCCGTGATAAATTATAATACAATCTTTAATTTGATTTAGAGGTAAAATGATTTTTTTAGATTTATAATATTTGTATCTTACACCCCGTGCAACGCACGGGTGGAAAACTAGTTTTCTCTTAAAATACTATTAAATACATTATTACTCTAATTCAGATATACATATTCCTATTGTTTTTTATTTTTGGGTGTTCATGTGAACACCCTTGCATAAAGGACATCCGCCACTGGTGTAGATCACTCGACTTATAAATGTATTTTTGACCCACCCGACTACCCGAGCCATTTTTTTGGCTCCATCATTTGAGCTCCATCCCAATTTAATTTCTCAATAAAGAATGACGTGGTTGTTTTTTTTAATGAAGGGGGCTTATATATTAGAATAAAAGCAATCAACAAGGATCTAAAATGACAAGAGTACCACCGATAACCATCCACCCTTGGGTCAGACTCAAAATTAACCACCTTCAAGGAAGCAGTATAATTCACTGATCCTAAACTGGGCATAATTGAGCCAACAGTGGTTACTGCAGCACTCTCATCACCCGAGCCTAATGCAAGAGTCTTATAGAAGTAAACAAAACAACAACAAAAACAACAGTCTGAACGTCAAATGAAACATAACAAGCAATAATAAAATAAGCACCACCGTGGAACTTCTGCACCTGCAACTTTACGAACATATCAGGCGGGCTTAGCAGCTGAAGCCCGCCTCCTCCCCGTTTTTTGTGTTGTCTAGTGTCATCTCCTCTTCTGAGTTGTTTTCTTCTGCCGGATCCTTCCAGACTCTCCTGCGCTTCTGATCAACCGCGACCTCCCCTGCACCGCTTCTACCCTCTTCCTTTGTGCCACTACTTTCTGTCTCAGTTGTACTCTCCTTGCGTCCCTGTCTCATAGTTTCTTCGTCATCTCGCTGAGCCCTCCTGTGATGATTCGGACCTCCTTGTTTATCCACCAACCATTTACCACCCCTTGTGGGGCTAATCATTCCCCCACCACCTGCTCTGAGATCCGCACTAAAGTTTTTCTCCAAAACAAGATCCTCCACATATACTTATATAACATAATTAAAGTCATTGATAATAATTATGATATTATAGATGTACTATTTTTAATATTTGAGAATTAACTTATCATTTTAATTTCTTAAAATTGAAATGAGAAGTATTAAGTGAAACGTCTAAAAATGACAAAAAGAGAAAGAAAAAAAAACTTTAAAAAAAACACTTAAAGTAGGACGAGGGAGTACTAGGGTGGACTGGCCCAGTTCGACTTGACCCAGAACCCAAGTCGGTCTGTTACTGTTCAAGCCCTGCCCGACCTGGTGAGTCGGGACCGGGACTGGGGCCCGAGCCCAGGGATTAAAGAGGCGGGCTAAGGGTTTTTAAATGGTGAACCGGCCCGGCCAATTCGGCCCCGGTCCGGGCCCAAATAATTTTATTTTTTTATTTTTTTATTTTTGGCATTGGGCTGGGTGCTAGATGGGTGGGGCTGGGCAATTTGGGAGGATTTGGAAATGGGGTGGGGGGTTGGAATTAATTCGAAAGACCCAAAAAAAATTATATTTGAGCCCGGTCCATGCCTAGCGAGTACAAAAGAGTTGATCGTTTGCATATTTTAATTCTAAAATCACAATAACGATATACTCTAGAATGTACTAGTATTTTATTTCTATTTGGGACAATCTATTATACTTGAGTAATGCTGTAATGGAGGGAAAAGGTGTAAAGATAATTAAGGAACATAATGAGACTTTAGATATCACTGCACGAAGTTTTTTATATGTATATAGATTAAAATAAAGTCCAATAATTTTTCTAGTAGTAATTGAGTATTGAATATAGAATGATAACATTAGAAAGAAAGAAAAAAAGTACTGTCTTTTTTCGTTAACTTTAATGAGTTAGTCTATAATTGCTATTGCTTAATTTAAGCACTTTTGAGCTTTTGGAGTTGGAGAAGCTAAAAGTGGTGTTTGCAAATGAAAAATTCTGCTTAATTTAAGCAATTTAAAGCCAAAACTTAGAAGCTAAGGATGAGGTGCTTTTATCTGCTTCTTTGTTTTTTAGTAAATAAGTCCAACTTTTAGGGCCATTCTAATCTTAAAAATAATTATTAGCCCAAAAGTACCCCTCTGGCCCACAACACCCATCGTTCCCCAAAGCTTCTATCAAGAATCTGCAGCAAGGTCCTTCCGGCTTGCGGCAAGGGAATTCGACAATTTCAGAGCCAAACGAAATTCTGAATAATCCAAGAACATAATTAAACTTCATCCAAACATGAATTTACGGACTAATGAAACACAAAACCTTGAAAGTAAAGGTTGAAGATGATAATACATACTCCATAATAAATATGGATCCAAATCGTGGATAGTCCCCTAGGGGTGGACTCGGGCCGGGCGGCCCGACCCGGAACCGGCCCGGCCTGGTTACTGTTGAGCCCGGCCCGGCCCGGAAACCGGTGGGCCCAGCGGTTCGGGTCGAACCGGCCCGGCCATTGGGCGGTTCGGGCTCGGGCCTATGTTTTGGTGAACCGGCCCGGCCGGTCGGGCCCGGTTCGGGCCGGAATTTCATTTATTTAATTTTTTTTTTTTTTTGAATTTTTTAAGTTTTTGGTTGGATTAAGTATTTTGGGCCATTTGAGGTGGTTTGGGGTGGTTTGGGGTGGAGGGGGAGGGGTGGGGGTTAAATAAGAGAAGAAGAAAAAAATTAAAAATTAAAAATCCGGGTGGCCTGGTCCGCCCCGGCCCGGTCTGGCCCGGAACCGGACCCGGAACCGCCCACCACCGGTTAGGGCTCGGGCCTCATTTTTCTGAACCGAGGCCCGGCCGGGCCCAGGCCCGAGGCCACCCCTATAGTCCCCCCTGCCTTTTTTGTTGTGTATTCTTGCTCTCGCTTTGGGTTGGGTGTGAGTTTTATCTTTTTTTCCGATCTGTTTTTTCTTTCTATTTTTGGCTGCTTTCTAACTCCATGGGCATGGTGAGGAGCTTCACGATCGGCAATTAGAGCGGAGAGAAAGGAGGGTGGGTTGGGTTGCCCCTGATCCTGATTTGCCATCTCTTTTTAATTTTAGGAGGTTGCTTTGGTAATTTAACAAAATATTACATCACAATCACTTTTTTATCAAACACTTCATTTTTACCTTTTTATTAAAATCACTTCTATTCCCAAACACTAGGGGTGGACTCGGGCCGGGTGGCCCGGTCAGTGACCGGTTCGGGTAGGCCCGACCCGCTGGGGTTCCGGTCCGGGCTCGGGCCCCTCAAAGCGTGAACCGGTCCGGCCGGTTCGGGCCCGGTCCGGGCCATTTTATTTTTTTTTCCTTTTTTTTTTATTTTTTTTTTAAGTTTTTGGGTTAGACTGGGTATTTTGGGTCATTTAAGATGGTTTGGGGGCGAGGGGGGGGTTAGGGGTTAATTAGGAAAAGGCAAAAAAAAATTGAATCGAGGCCCGGCCCGACCCGGACCTGGGGGTTACCCGGGCCGGTTCCGGGCCTCCCCTTTCCTGAACCGAGGCCCGGCCGGGCCCGAACCGGCCCGAGTCCAACCCTACCAAACACTACCAATTTTTACTACAAATCACTTTTCCAACAATCTATTAAAAAAATCACTTTTAAAAAGTAAAAACAATCGCAAACACTCCCTTAGACTGGATCACTAGTATTTAGATTTTAGAATGTGAGGCGTATTGAGATAAACCAGGTCTTATTACATATTAAACAAATTATGAGGCAATTTAAACTTATTCCTACTTGTCATATGTGCATTGTACAGGTAAAGGGCATCATAACATTCATGTATTCCTCTCAAACAGGGAATCATGAACAAAAAGAGAAACTTGAATGTTAACTCCAATGCAACATCCTTTTCCATCAAATGCCAAACCAAAATGATAACCGACAACAATATACACAAATCCATACTTAGCATGTTCCAGTAAACTGTGAAAGTGAAAGAGTCACACGTTGAGGGGTGCTCTATTCACTGCTAACTTGCTCAGTCATCGCTAAAATCAACGCTGCTGCTATGGGAGCTACTGGCGGTGCGACTATGTAAGGAGAGACGTCTAATGTGACCAGATAAAGCAGAACCGTCTAATTTGTTTTCTTGAAAGAACTTTTCCCTCTCGGCATGTTTTGCAGGTGGTGGTGGAATTGCAGCAGCAGCTGCTGCTTTCCCTGGATCGCGCTCTTGTTTCTGGTCTAAAGATGGGATTGGCCTTATGAGTGGACGGTGAAGCAATTTTCCTGGAATGGATGATCCAAGCATTCCCAATGGCCGTTCTTCATCTTTAGGTTGAAGGAGAGCTTTTCCTTTTCTCATCCTAGATATTTGTTTATTCATGTGACATGAAAATATAAATTGATTACGCAAAGATGCATGCATGGATAATCATGGGGAGAAAAGGGCCAGAGTAGCCCAATACCATCTACTGAAAATATTTTCCTTGATTCATTGTGCGATGTTTGGAGCTGAGAAAAAGGCAGGGAAAGGGGAAATGCTGAAGAAAATGATTTTTTCTCGTTTGGTTTTGTAATGGAAAATGAGAAGGAAATAAAAAGTGGCGCTTTTTATGATATACAGAAATAAGTTTACATGTTATTGAAAGAAAATTAGGTTCATTCATGATGTGGCAGTATGACTAAATATATGTCTGGGTTCCTATGCCACATATTATTACAACATAATACCTTCGGGAAAGCTGCTCAGCGTCCTCTACCTCCACTTGTTCATAGTCAACATGAGATGAAATCTGGGTTGGATGAACCGAAACAAGAGCATCATGCCTTTTAAGCACCATATCTAGTTGTTCATTTATCTCAACTGCTTTAGACACAACCTTTTCATCCCTGAACAATGTCAGCAATGCAAAACATATGTTTCAGAGTCATTACTTTCACTAAAGGGTATGACAGATTACAGTCTGACAACCTCAAGAGCATAACTTGGGACATACATAATCATAAACCACAATTAGCACAAGGCATCAAAACTCAAAAGTTTAA